TATATATATATATATATATATACATATATATATATATATGCACGCACATCTATACATATATACATACATACATATATGTGTATATATACACATGTATGTGTGTATATATTTACGATGCGCACATGCAATATCCAGGTCGGCAACGCGCCGCCCTTTCGCCTGCGCACGCGCAGCGCGCGCGTGCGAGGCGCCGTCGCCAAATCGGCGACGGCATGTTGAATTCAATGCGCCGCGCGCAGGCTTTGCTGCGCGCGCTTAAAACAAATGACAATATCCAGGTCGGCGCGCGCCACCCCTTTCGCCTGCGCGCGCATTGCGCGTGCGAGGGCGCGCCGCAAGGCATGCAAGCGTCGACGTCGCGCCCACGCATGGGGGCGGCGGCAACGTCGACGTTGCCGCCGCCCCCACGCATGGGCCACGATCGGACGGGTTCATGATGGGTGGGGGGTCGTCGACCCCCGATGGGGGGGGGCTATAGCCAACGGCCGTTCCACGATCGGGGAAGGGGGGGTGGGGGGTGGGGGGGTGGGGGGGTGGGGTGGGGGGGTGGGGGTGGGGGGGCGCAGATCAGGTGGCCATATGGGCCCTATGGGCGCGAGGCACTGTTTTTGGGGGGGTGAGAGGGGGGGCACAGGGCACCTAGTTGGGTCCTGGCCCATCCCTCGGGCCCTCGGGCTATAGGGCCATCCTTCGAGGGGCATCACGCTGCCTTCGGGCTAGGGGAGAGGGGGGGGGGGGGGGGGGCAGGTGGCCCAGGCCCTTTGGGGCTCGATGCCCCCCCCCCCAGGGAGGTGGGGGCGGCGCCACCAAGTGGGTGGGGGGGGCACATATAGCGACCCCGCATGGGAACATTACAGAACATTACAGAACATTACAGAACATTACGGAACATTATAGAACATTACGGAACATTATTAGAACATTACAGAACATTACGGAAAATTATTAGAACATTATTAGAACATTACAGAACATTACAGAACCTTACGGAACATTACGGAACATTACGGAACATTACAGAACATTACAGAACAGTACGGAACATTACTAGAACATTACGGAACGTTATTAGAACATTACAGAACATTACAGAACATTACAGAACATTACAGAACATTACGGAACATTACAGAACATTATTAGAACATTACAGAACATTACGGAACATTATTAGAACATTACAGAACATTACGGAACATTATTAGAACATTACAGAACATTACAGAACATTACAGAACATTACGGAACATTACGGAACATTACGGAACATTACGGAAAGTTGCAGAACATTACAGAACATTATTAGAACATTACAGAACATTCCGGAACATTATTAGAACATTACAGAACATTACAGAACATTACAGAACATTACGGGAACATGACAGAACATTACGAGAACATTATTGGGACATTGCAGAATCGTGGCAATCGTTCGTCTCTGAACTCGATCGCGGGCCCCCATGGGCCCCTAGGGGCCCGCTAGGGGTGGGGTGCGGAGGGCGGATAGGGGGGCACGAGGGCCCTCGGTGCCCCCCCAGGGGGGCCTATAGTGCGCTTGAGCTACCCCTAGTGGTGCACCTAGGTTAGCTAGGGGGCACCTAGGGGGCGCCATAGGGGCCGCCCTAGGGGGTGCCCTAGGGGTTCACCTAGGGGTGCCCTAGGGGGTGCCCTAGGGGGTGCCTTAGGGGGCGCCCTAGGGGCCGCCCTAGGGGGGGGGCGCACCAGGGGCACCCTAGGGGGGCCCTCGGGGGCGCTATAGGAGGCCCATAGGGTGCCCCCCCATAGATGGTGCCCCCTAGGGGGTGCCCCCCCATGATAGGGGGCCCCTTTACGGTGTGGCCAAGATGACAGGGGCCATTGCGGGTGGGACCCTAGGGGCGGTGGTGTGGTGGTGGGAGGGGGGGGGGGGGGGAGGGGGGCAAGGCGCCCGCGGGCCACCATGCGGACGGGGCCCTCATGGGCCCAAACGTGCGGCTGGTCTGGTCGATCTTGCGCGGTGCGTAGTGTGAAAATGCTTCGCCGAAGTCGCCGAGCCACCTCCGCGTTGCCCAGGGCGTGCACCTGGGCGGCACGGGCACTTCTCTCGGTCGCTCGATCCCTCGCTTGCGTGCGCACGCAGTTCCGAACGTACGCATGTATACAAGCGCGCATGACCAGCATGGTATACAACTATAAAATAAGCGTGCGTGCGCAACTATATGGATGTAGGGAGGTAGGTGTATAGACAGGTAGGTATGTAAGTCGGTAGGTGTAGGTAAGTATCGTGCGCAAATATACGTACTTATTATATATACACAAACATACATATACATACAGACAAACATACATACGTACATATACCTACATACCTATATATATATATATGTCCTCCTCCTCCGCCTCCTCTTCCGCCTCCTCCTCCTCGACCTCCTCTTCATCCTCCTCCTCCTCCTCATCCTCCTCCTCCTGTCCCTCCGCCGCCTCATCCTCCTCACCCCCTTCCCTCCTCCAATCCTCCTCCCCCTCCTCCTCCTCTTCCTCCTCCCTCCTGTCCCTCCCCGACCCTCCTCTACTATCGTCCTCGGCCTCGTCCTCATCCTCATCCCCCTTTTCCTCTTCCTCAGCACTCCTCCTCCTCCTCCTCCTCCTCATCTATTCCTCTCTCCTCGTCCCCCTCCTGTTCCCTCCCCCCCCCCCCCTCCTCCTACTCCTCCTCCTCCTCCTCTCCTCCTCCTCCTCTCCTCCTCCTCGAGCTCCTCCTCCTCCTCCTCCTCCTCCTCATCCTCCTCCCCGCTCCCGATCCCCGTCCCCGCTATAGATAGTATATATAGATATATTATATATGTATAATATATATAAATATATGCATATACATATATGTGTACCCCTCCTCATCTTCCCCTCAGCCTGCTCCGCCTCCAGATCTCCAGGTATCATCGTTCCTCGGTCCTCTTTCGAGCACATGCATCTCCTTATCCTCTTCCTCCTCCTCCTCCTTCTCCTATGTGTTTCTCCTCCTCCACCCCCTTCGCATCCTTCTCTTCCTCCTATCCTCTGCCTCTCGGCCCTCCACCCCCTCCTCCTACTATGCCCCTCCTCCTCCTCTTCCTCGCCTGACCCCCCCCTCTTCGTCGCGAGTACCCTTGGTTTCCTTCCGATCCTCATGTTGTTCTCCTCGGGCCCACGCGCCCCCTTTCGCCTGCGTCTGCCGCGGCGCACCAGCTCGAGCGAGGCCGCGGGGGGCCAGCGCCGGCAGGGCTCGGGCGATGTGCAGCCGAGGCCGAGGAGGAGGAGGATGAGGATGAGGAGGAGGGAGGCGGAGGGAGGAGGAGGGGGATGTCGAGGAGGAGGGGTGAGGACGAGGACGAGGGGTACACTGAAGGACGAGGATGAGGAGCAGGAGGCTGCTAGGAGGCTCGAGGAGAAACATACGATCGGAGGCCATTCAACCCCAATGCTGCACACATCATGGCCTGCATGGCGTGCTGATTGTTTTCGCATGCGCGCAGTCGGCCCTGCGCTCTTCTCGAATCCCGTGCCCGTGCACGGCCGCCGTGCACGCTTCGCAAACCGTGCATTCCTTTGTACTCGTCGATCCTCCTCCTCGGGCCGCCCTCTCCTCCTCCTCCTCCTCCCCCTCCCCCTCCTCCTCCTCCTCCTCGTCCCCGTCCTCGGGCTCGTTCTCGGATCGATCGCCATCGATTGTCGCCGTCGACGCTGCTAGCGGCAACCCTCCCCAGCATAATGCCGAGGATCATGATCGGGACCCCGCTCACGTTGCCCCTCACCTGCGCGCACGGCCTTCCTGGTCATCCTTATCCTCCCCCTCCTCCTCCGCCTCGCCCCCTCCTGATCCACTTGGCCCCCCTGGTTCTCGAGGATCGATCCCCCTGGTCTTGCTGATCAACCATGCCCCTTACTCCCCCCCCCCCCCCCCCCCCCCCCCCCCCCTCACCTCCTCATCCTCCTTTCCCTCCTGATCCTCCTCGCGTCCAGGTCCCTCCTCTTCTCGCCCGTTTCGAATTCCTCCTCATCGATCCTCCTCCTCGACCCGCATGCGCCCCCCCCCCCACACACACAACACCAACACACACACACACACACACACACACACACACGCCACACAACACACACACACCACACACACACAACACACACACACACACTGATCAAGAAGGTTGACGGTCGTCCAGACGTCCGAGCCAAGGTTGGCGCATTCACATTGGGCATGCGCAATTCGGACACCTGCCTCCTCATCACTCCTCCCCTCCTCCTCCTCCTCCATGACCCATATTATTCCTCCTCCTCCTCCTCAGTCTCCCCCTCGTATCCTCGCTATCTTCCTCCTGTCTATCTCTCTCGTCCTTCTCGTCCTTGGCACCCTTCTCACTCCCCCCCCTTCCTCCTCCTGCCCCCCTCTCAAATTGGCACAAGGCGGCCTCATCAATACATACTCGCCAACGTTGGCCGATGAAGTGCTCGATGTCGTTGCCAGCGCCTCCCAACGCGATCTATGGAGTAACGTCTGCAACATGCATGTCATCAACCAGAGAAGCATCTCCCGAGAACTGGCGTGGGCAGGACATTCTATGTGTATACAACACCGCGCATATAAGTGAGGCCAGAGCGAACGAGAGAGACAGGGGTACAAGAATAGTTGTACATGAGTCGCCACGTCTTTCCTTATCCGCTACCTCCTCCTCCACCTCTGCCTCGTTCATCCTAGCCACGGCCTCCCTGAAGGCCTCGCATGTTCTCATCCCTCATGCTCCTCATCATCCTATTATTCCTCAGGTGTGCCTCCCGAGATCCCCACCCCTCCTCATGGCCAGTGAACTCGCATTCTGGAGTCGCCCCTCTTTCCTTCGAAGCCCCTCTTCCTCAAGTATTATCCTCCCCATCCTATCCTATTCCTCCTCCTCATCCTCCTCAGCCTTCTCAGTTCCCCCTCCTTACCCCTCTCACCCCCTTCTCCTCAGCCACTCGTTCTCAAGCATGCCCCCATGGAGGCGCCTAGCCCCCAACGCTGATCTCCGACGCCAGCACGTACTTCCTGATGCTCTTCGCGGTCGCCTTGCAGTACGTCGACTTCTGGACCACATAGTAGTATATCATGTTCAGCACGTACAAGCTCATGCCGCGCCTGTCCATCTTGAAGTGCTCGAGCTGCTGCTCCGACCACTCCTTGTTGGACACCTGGATGAGCTGAGCCCATGCCGAGTACCCGCCCTCGAGGTGGAACGGCTTGTTCCTGTAGGCGATGGTGTGGTAGCCCTCGGACGCGCGGCTCCTGTACTGCAGCTGGAAGGGGATGCCCTGGTGGTCATTCAGGGTCTGAATGCCCGCCGTCAAGAAGTCTGAGACCTCCTCCCAGCCGTTCTGCGGCTTCGTGAGCTCGATCACAGCGCCATCCTCACCGCCAGCGTCCTCGACGCCAGCGCTCGGCTCCTCGCCGGCAGCCTGCACGTCAACCTCCTCGCACGCGCCGCCAGCCTCCTCTTCCTCATCCTCCTCCTGGTTGGGATCCTGAGCTTTGGCCTTCTTCTTCGAGGCCGAGGGCGCCGCCGATGCCTTCCTCTTGCTACCGCTCGCCCCTGGCTTCGGCACCGCCTTGCCCTTCGGCACCGCCTTGGCCTGAGGCACCGCCACTGGCTTCACCCCAGCAGTCGACACCGCCTTGCCCTTCGCCACCGCCTTGCCCTTTGGCACCGCTGGCTTGATCACCCCAGCAGTCGCCACCGCCTTGCCCTTCGCGGCCGCCTTGCCCTTTGGCACCGCCACTGGCTTGATCGCCACAGCAGTCGCCACCGCCTTGCCTTTCGCCACCGCCTTGGCCTTTGGCACCGTCGTTGGCTCCACCCCAGCAGCCGCATCCGCTTTGGCCAGGCTCGGCGGGATGACGGTGAGCACGTTGTCGGCCTCGGTCTTCATCTCCTTCTTCGCCTTCTTCATCTTGTGGCGCTCGCGCTGGCCCATGAGCTCCGCCACGAAGGGCATCGTGATGCCCGAGCTGCTCGCGGCCGAGCTGCTGGCGGCAGCGCTCGATGCCGCGGCTGCCCCCCCGCAGCTCTCCTCCCCCTCCTCGTTGGATCCGATCGTCGGCTCACTATCGCTGAAGAATGAGCCGCGATCCGAGGAAGGGCCCTCGCGGATCGGTGCTGGAGCCTCCCCCTTGACGTCGCCCTCGATCTGTGCTGGGGCCTCCTCCTCGACCTCGTCGTCGTCGCCCTCGATCGGTGCTGGAGCCTCCTCTGCAGCGACCTCGTCATGGTCGCCCTCGATCGGCGCTGGAGTCTGCTCGACCTCGTCATGGTCGCCCTCGATCGGTGCTGGAGCCTCCTCGACCTCATGGTCGCCCTCGATCAGTGCTGGAGCCTCCTCGACGTCGCCGTCCTCGATCGGTGCTGGAGCCTCCTCGACGTCCTCGCCGTCGACCTCGATCGGTGCTGGAGCCTCCCCGACCTCGCCCGCGTCGCCCTCGATCGGTGCTGGAGCCTCCTCGACCTCGCGTGCGTCGCCCTCGATCGGTGCTGGGGCCGTCTCATCGACGTGGTCGTCCTGCGCAACACCCGCCCGCCAACGAACGCGTCATCATCACCCATCCTTCTCGTGCAACCACCGACAAGGTTATGCATGTGAACTCTGCGGGTTAACGATGAGACGAAAACTCACAGACGCTGATCGAGACATGTCACCAAAACATGTCGTTCATGATAACACGAGCGTGTATATACATAACAGCTACCGAAAGAGACAGACTCGTTGATCCCTCCTCCTTCCACCCTCCAGTTCCTCCCTTCAGCCCCTCTCTCCAGCTCCTCCTTCCCGTTCCTGCCGAATGTTCCTACATCACGTTCTTCTCTGACGTACCTCCCTCCTCCTACTTTGTCATGCTCCTCTCTTCCTCTCCAGTTACTGACTCTTCCTCCTCAAGCTACTCGCACGTCCTCCCTCCTCCAGTTATGCTCACCCCCCTCACCCCCTCATCCTTCATGCTACTATAGTTCCTCCCGCCTCAAGTCATTCCTCCCCATGGTGCAGCGGCAGACCCCCCCGTCCGAATACGCGTCGTGCAAGTGCTGCTTGATGATATCGTCGGACACGGCCTCGATGTCAGCACTGTCGACCTGCCACCCTTTCCAACGAACGATGGGCATCACGTCCTCCCGCCCCCTCATCATCTTTCTTCCGCCCTCTTCCCGCGTCCACCCCTCACCCTCATCATCCCACTTCCTCCCTCACCAGCCATCCTACTCATCACGCTTCCTCTTGTTTCCTCCTCGTCCCGTGCCCTCTTGAAATGCAGTCTCATCACAGCCTCATCGCTGTCTGACTTAAATTTCGCGTCTCCCAAATTGGATCGCAGCCCTAGTGTTCCTTCGCTGTTCGTCCCGACCACCCTAAAGACCTACTCACCAGTGTCGCGGCCGTGCATCCTCTGCCAGTGCGCCAGCCCGTTCCTGAAGGCGTTAATCTCGAGAAACCTCGCTGCTCGGGGAAGCGACTCGCAACGCAAACAACGGCATCAGCATCGACGACGTCTATGCTCGAACGAGGATGTCACACGAGGCATGACCAGAAAGGTGGGAGGACGAGAGAGAGAGAGAGAGAGAGAGGGAGGAGAGAGAGAGAGAGAGAGAGAGAGAGAGAGAGAAGAGAGAGAGAGAGAGAGAGAGAGAGAGAGAGAGAGGAGAGAGAGAGAGAGAGAGAGAGAAGAGAGAGAGAGAGGAGAGAGAGAGAGAGAGAAGGAGAGAGAGAGAGAGAGAGAGAGAGAGAGAGAGAGAGAGAGAGAGAGAGAGAGAGAGAGAGAGAGAGAGAGAGAGAGAGGAGAGAGAGAGAGAGAGAGAGAGAGAGAGAGAGAGAGAAGAGAGAGAGAGAGAGAGAGAAGAGAGGAGAGAGTGAGAGAGAGAGAGAGAAAGAGAGAGAGAGAGAGAGAGAGAGAGAGAGAGAGAGAGAGAGAGAGAGAGAGAGAGAGAGAGAGAGAGAGAGAGAGAGAGAGAGAGAGAGAGAGAGAGAGAGAGAGAGGAAGAGAGAGAGAGAGAGAGAGAGAGAGAGAGAGAGAGAGATAGAGAGAGAGAGAGAGAGAGAGAGAGATAGAGAGAGAGAGAGAGAGAGAGAGAGAGAGAGAGAGAGAGAGATAGAGAGAGAGAGAGAGAGAGAGAGAGAGAGAGAGAGAGAGAGAGAGAGAGAGAGAGAGAGAGAGAGAGAGAGAGAGAGAGAGACGAGAGGAGAGAGAGAGAGAGAGAGAGAGAGAGAGAGAGAGAGAGAGAGAGAGAGAGAAGAGAGAGAGAGAGAGAGCGAAGAGAGAGAGAGAGAGAGAGAGAGAGAGAGAGAAGAGGAGAGAGAGAGAGAGAGAGAGAGAGAGAGAGAGAGAGAGAGAGAGAGAGACACAGAGACACATGCAGGGGATGAGGGGACCGAGAGCCCCATCTGACCGAACGATGCGCTCGAACTCATCCGCCTCACTTGTCCTCCTCCTCCTCCTCCTCCGTTCCTCCGTTCCTCAGCCATTTCTCATCCATTTGTTTTTTTTTTTCTTGAGGTGATCATCATTGTAATGCCCACCTTCTCCTGCTGCTCGTCCTCCTGCCCCCCTTCTCCTCCACTGCGGCGGTGCGCTGGCCTGTGGCCGTCGATCATCGCAGCTCTCGGCTTCTTGTTCATTTTCTTCTTGTACTGGGCCTCGAGCTGCCTGGAATATAAGTGCTGCCATACAGCCTGCTGCCGCGGGGGCGTCGGGCTGAGAGGTAGGGGCAGCCTCGACCCCTTCGAATGTCGCTTCTATCCTCCTCTTCCTCTCCCCCTCATCATACAACGCCTCCTCCTCTTCCTCCTCCTCCTTCTCCTCCTCCTCTTCCTCCCTCCTTTTCCTTCTTCCCCCCTCCTCGGATCATCCTCCTCCTCCTCGACCCTTCTTCCGCTCCTCCTCCTCCTCCTCTTCATTCTCCTCCTCCGCTTCTTCTCGATATGCTGGCCTCCTGGCGACGCTCTTCTCTGCAATCCCCATCCTCCATGCTGGTCCATATTCGAGATCATACTCGCCCTCGACTCTCCCTTACTCGTCCTCCGTCACGTGCCGACCTCCACTTCCCTGAACTCGCCGCTCATCAACGCTTCCCCTTCTCGTGTGCAGGGCGCGGTGCTGGGGGCCTCTAAGTTCTTCTGCGACATTCTGCGGCCTTTGAATACTTTGTGCACTGCTGCGCGCGTGGAGTCGAACGCCTGGCTGCCGAGGCGGAAGCAGGAGAAGGAGGCAGGAGCAGACAGTCGACAAGGAATCAGGGGAACGATGGTCGAGGTTTGATCGACGATCGAGGCGACGAGGCGAGGATCTCGGCGACGTCGACGTCGACGCCAGATTTCGAGGCGACGTCGCGATTTCGAGGCGACGTCGACGTCACAATAGCTATGACGAGTAAGGCGCCGATGACGATGACCACGAAGATCGAGACATCACTGAGGATGACGACCAAGACGATCAAGACGTCAAAGATGGCGACGACGAGCAAGGAAGATTACGATGAAGACGACATTGAGGAGTGTGACCAAGACGATCGATAATGATATATACGACGTGCGAGCCAAGGACGATGACGATGAGAACGACGTTGATGATCAGCATGCGACCATGACCATGAAGACCTTTATATATACCCGTCCTTCTCCATAGTGCTCCTCCTCCTCCTCCTCCTCCTCCTCATTCCCCTCCTTTGCCTACTCCTGCCTCCTGCTGCTGCTGCTCGTCCTCCTCTTCCCCATTCTCCTGCTCCTACCTGGGTCTGCCAAGAAAGAACCCCCCCCCCCCCCCCTCCCCCCGCCCCCCCCCCCGAGCACCGTCAACAAGTCAGGCACAGGGCGGTTGCCCGAGCTCGACACGCTGTAGCTTTGAGCCGGCGACTTGGGGTTTAACGTTCGCGGGGGAAACGCCGACAGCAATCCCAGTTGGCGCCAACAGGATTTTGTGTTCGAGGGTGGCCCGCAGGGCAGGTAGGTGACATAGAAGAAGTATTTCTCTCCATGTGGCCCGGCTTTGCTGCGTCCCCATTGTCGCGCACGACAACGCGATTGCCGAATGCCTGCCCTTTCCCTCGGCGACCACAAGGAAACGCGCATGAGCACGGTTGTCGACATTGTTGCGCTACTTGTGTGTCGCGATCCTCATAACCCATGCAATCCATGTAACGTATAGCGTACCTTCTCATGCCGCCCGCCTGGAAAATGGCAGTTCGGGCGCTGGACTAAACCTGCCGCGGGCACGCCCGCCCTTCAGCCCGGCTCACGCAACGCCGTTAAACAGGACGCGGGTCTTGTGGAGCGAACTTCTCGCGTCCTCAAGAAGGGGGGAACGACAGGAGTACAGATCGCACCGCGGTGCTTCTGTCCCTTTGGACGGCGAGGCGGCCCGAGAGCTGGACGTCAGACTGCTGTCGGCGCCGTGCGTGGGCCAGCAACGACTCGACGAATATACGCATCCTGCTGACACGTTCTGCGCGTGCGACCTGGCCTGTGCGACTGCAAGAACGGGAACCACGTTTCGCCCTTGGCTGCATGGGCGGCGAACGGGAGATGGCATGCGCCCAGTGGCCCGCCCGCCCCGATAATGCGCAGACCAAGAGGCTTGATCCACAATGGCGACGGACACGATCACCGCATGCGCCAGGAGATTCGTTTGGGATGGACGCCGAGACCAGCAGAAGCCCTCTGCCGAACATCCAATGCGGCTTTGTCGATTGAAAGGGCACGTGGCCCTGTGCGCGTTCCGAGGCGCGTTGCGTTAAGCGTCCTCGCAAGTAAAAGTCCGAAGCCTATTCATCAGTCCGGCATGACATCCTCGCGAAGCGATGTCTGTTAACACCCCAACGGGAGCCATATATTGTTCCGCCACGTGGCGACTGCCACCCTATGGTAGCGTTCGCGCTGGGGCGGCTCGAACCTTGTGGGACGTCAGTTCCGCCCATCCTCCACTACACTACTTACTGCTGCTGCGCGTGCACGCACGCATACACACAGGCACGTTCAAATGGCAAGTGGTCATCCAGGGTGGTGCATCTCATAAGCAACGTCTGGCGATGGATCTCCGAAATCAGATGTCGGCCCGCGCATGGGGGCACCAGGCTGCGGGGAGACGGTTGTCAGTATTAAGGCACTGTGGACGCTCCTGCTGAGGTCAGGCACATGCTCGTCGCTGGCAGCCAGGATGGTTTTATCGAAGCTTGGCAAACAATGATTGTTGGCTGTTGCCCGTGCTGCGCTCGGAGGCTGTTCAGCAACAGTGCCAACTTGCTGTCGCATTGAAACCGCCCCCGCATCATATACTGCAAACAACCAACGAGAGATGCGCCAAAAGCGGAAATGCGAAAACGTCTCGCGCGAGAGCGGCCAGTCCGACCAGCTGTTCGAGGCGGGGTGCGAGAGCCGCTTCGGTTTCCAGGTGTCCACAGACCCTCCCCGTGCAAGACGGATCCAGCTGTGGCGACGAAGCGAGCCCAGCTGTGGCGACCAAGGGGGCGGGGAAAGCGGCGAAGCCTGTCCGATGGGAGGGCGGATGGTGAGTGGATGGGGACAAACGGAGAGGGGGGATTAAAGGCAGGTCGGGCGAGGGGGGACGGAGGGGGTGCAGCACCAACAATGGCAGGCGTGAGAGTAGGCGCGTCAGGAGGGGCGTGGGCAACGAGAGGGACGCAGCGGTAACGCAGAAAAACGAAAACGTCTCACGCGAGAGCGGCCAACGTTTGACCGGCGTTTCTCGGCGAGGGCGATAGCCGCTTCCATCTCCAAGTGCCCCCAGGCCCCTCTGTCGCAAAACTGAGACGGCTGTGGCGCCGAGGCGACTCTAGCTGCAGTTGGCGCAGTCGGTCGTACACCATACGTTTCCCCGTGTAGCGCGCACCACGCAGGTGATCCACCAGCGGGTGGGCCAGCCGAACACTGTCCGAGAAAGCAACCTATAACATCCCACCAGCCCTATAGGGCGTAGGTGGTTTAAGGCGTTTCTTCTTCCATCCTCCCCCTTCCCCTTCGGGGAGGGGTTTACCGCCCCCCCATGCCCCCTCGCCTGGACGTGGACGGGGCGTTTCGCGAGCGGTCAGAGCGTTCAATATGGCTCAATATGGCTCCAAGAGGGCCTCAGGGAGCCCAAGACGACCTCTTAGACGGC